TCCTAAACTACGGTTGTCATCCTTGCAAAGGAATTGAACCCCGCTCTAGTGTGAGGGTGGAAAGCATGGACGTCTTCGCTTCGCGAATGCATCATCTTGCGCAGGAAGCCACTAGCACCTTGACAAAAGCAGCGAATGACATGAAACATTATTATGATGAACACCGTCGCAAGGCTCCTGAATATCAGCCGGGAGATTTAGTTTACTTGGAGGCCACCAACCTTAAATCTGACCGCCCTTCGAAGAAGCTCGATGATCGTCATTTTGGTCCTTTCAAAATCATTCAGAAGGTTGGAGAGCGAGCCTACAAACTGGATTTACCTCGCACTTGGAAGCGGATCCATCCAGTGTTCCACACTATTCTTCTTCGTCCCTACACACCACCAACTTCCCCATTGCAACAATCGCCGCCGCCGCCGCCACCAGTAGATCTTGGAGGAACCCCAGAATATGAAGTTGAGAATATATTGGATAGTCGAGAGAGACGTGGAAGAAGAGAATATTTGGTAAAATGGAGAGGACAACCAAGAGAAGAGGATACTTGGGAGCCGGAGCAAAATTTGAAGAATGAGTACGGAACCAACGAGGCGTTCAAAACCTTCCTGGCGCGTGAACGAGAACACCTCAAAATTCGTATACCACCTCGGGGAGAATGGAGATATGCGATGCCGAATCGAGGGGTGTACGATTGGAGGATAGGGACATTTAGAGAGATCGTCGATGAGGACATCGACCTTGGGAGAGGGTAATGTGATGAAAAGGCGTAGCCCGAGGACTAGCGGGCCTTCAATTTGGTTATGACGCGCGCCACCGAGAGTCTCGTTCCTTGTTTTCGACCTTGTCTATCTTACCATCGCAGTTCTGTAACAACAATATTATCTTGTTCTCCTCCTCGGATCTTTATCTGAGCCCCAACAGCAGACTTAGGGTGTTGCTGACAGGAGGATGCTCTTTCATTCGTCTATTTCGTTCCTGCTGGCCTTTTGCCCCCAAATGCTGGTACCTGACGAACCTGTCCAAGCTGCATCTTCCACAGTCGCATCAAAACTTCCCTACATGGTGCCGGGCTAGCATGAAGGACCCCATGAGAATTGGCTCAAAAGCCTTCGAAAGCACGATTGTCGACCGCAGCCAACTAATGTGCTTCTACAATTCGGTTCACCTTCCGCCAGATACGCGCCAGCCCGAAGACGATCCGTATACTACTTTCATTCAATTTTCTTTGATGTCCGAAATCACAGTCTATCCGCGAACCTTGACCCTCCCCTTCCGTCGACCAACTCACTGATCCGATTTAAAACCCGAATGGTGCTCCTCGACTCGCTGATAGACACTATTAGATTCACCTATCGGTTTTCATTGATGACTGGAAATTGGCGCCAATCACATCACAGAGGTGTATATGAGTTATCTCATCATATATATTCCGCGAACACTTCCTCATATACAGCCGAGCGGTGAGATCAAGCCACAGGACCAGTCTGCTAATAATTGAACCTGAAACCCGAAACCCGCCATTGTTTTGAGTGTAGGAATTTCGTTCTGTTTCAGGGGCAAGCGGTTGGAGTGGACGTACCTCCAGATCATTGTCATGCATCGTACTTTGGTAATAAAGTCATGATGAGCAGAGTAGTATGCGGTTTTGAATCTGTGACCAATACCTAGTGTGCCATCTTCCGTCATCATATAGTCAGCTTCTAGACTTGAAGGTGTCTCTTTTGTGGGCGCACCTCGCACTTGCATATCGCGACGAAACTCCGAGAGTTCCGGAGGCTCTCTTTATAGAGCAGCGTACTGCAGTAAGGTAGCTCATTGAGTATGGGTTGTTTGGCGGAGGGGATGGACTTGAGTGAAACACACTCGTACACTTGAAGTCAAAATACTTACTACTGGTGCTGCGTTCATCTGAGCCAATTTATATATATATTTAATTCCAATTTATGTCCTTTGCAGAGTGGACTCTATGTAGGACAGTACTTTCTAATCTAACGACCCCCAGTGTCCTAACCGCACCTCTGAATTCGCGAATGCCCTGGTGTGAGACGTGCTCCACCAGTCCGCCGTTCCTGCCGGCCGTTTTTGACGCGCAATCCATGGTTAGTAGTGAGGTGACTTTTGTGTAGCGTGCGATGTATGACTATCGAATACATATGGTGAACACGTACTCGGTCGCACGAAGCGAGTTTGTACAGGAATCATTTTGGTTTGATATAGGTAGGATGAGGTGAGCTCGCGATGTACTGCGTTGAGCTACTGCGACGTCCAGACAACCAAGCCAAAATTTTATGATGTCATAGCATGGGAGCTCCTTATTTTGGCATCTATATGACGCCGGCCGGAACAAGTTGGGAACCACGTTGCATGTGCATGAACATCCGTTCAGGGAACCGGTGGCCGAACAGCCTAGTACACTCAAGCAAGGGCATTAATTTAGTGAGTGCTTTGGTAATGATTTGATTAGTATGTCGTCGCTTAAACGCTTATCGATTATCTTTGGTCTACTATCCCGTTCCAACAAGGACCAGGAAAACACCCTGCCCATATAGTACAAGACTAGACTCCGAAATTCGTGCACGATTTTCTGAGCTGGTAGCTGCCACAGTGATACGTCATCTGCTTGGAGCTGCGCCGGAAGGACCCCGGCTGCTCCCTATACCGCATGTCCGCAAATTTTCTAAATTTTTCTCTTGGGGCGCAACGTTTTTGAGGCTTGTGGGGCGCACTTCGGACATGCTTGCTCCCCGAAACATACCAAAAAAGGAAATTTTCCGTAAAAATTTCGTGCTGCTAGATTCTAGCTAGGTACACCCACGATTCTGCTTCTTGCGAGACCGTACAGTGAACTGTGATGCAATAATCTCGCGCACTGTCACAATACCCGCTGTTTCCCACCTATAGAGAAAGATAATATATGTTTTACAGTGTTTTGTAGAATAAAAACTTGCCGTTCAAAAGCCCACAGTTTCAGGACGTGATACCAATACTGAGCGCGGGTGTTCCGAGATTGTAGACAAGTTCCTTGATACTGGCAAGTGTCCATAAATGTCCCGTGGACTTGCTGTAGTGCCAGAACAAGTTTTCACTTTCTTCAGGGTGCGTCTTAGGAGTTTGCGAATTAAAATCAGTACAAGCAAGCAGGAAAAAAAGGCACCACTTGCCTGAATAAAAACCCGTAATCCTAAGTTTGTCAATGAAGGAACATCTTTTGTGCCAGCAAGGAGAATACTCTCGTGTCGAGTGCTTTTACCACCACCATTTAGGGCGTGTCATTGGCACCATTCTTCTTGTACATAGTACAAACCACTTGGCCAATATAGTAGCCCTGCGAGCGTTGCATGATAACATAGACCTCCTTCTTGTCCCCAACCAAAGATGGCGTGAACGGGAGCGTGAAGTTCCTCCCAATGGTCTGCAGAATGCTGGAGCGTCAAGTGCTTAACTCCGAGGATGCTCTCAGATGTCGTCGGTCTGGGCTGTCTAACACCCTCTAACACCCCCTCCGATCTGGGATCGAGGAGGATCCAGGGCCTCTTGGGGCGCTACCGACGGACATAAGGTGGGTGCTACAGGCTCGTGAGGCGCACATTTTAGGACCATAGGATGGGTGATTTGGAGGGCATGTGAGGCGCTACCGGTGGACATGCAGTATAGGGAGCAGCCGGGGTCCTGCGCCGGAGCAACAGTTTTGCACAGCACCCCCATCCTATACCTTGATCGGGTATTTTACAGGAAGCTAAATCTACATGGGTATTTTTGCAGTGTTTTGTTGGTCTCATTTTCCACATAATCCCCCGCGGTGATAATTGCTGTGATAATTAACTTGATCCCCTAGGGGATCCACATTGTTTTTGTACTGGAATTCACGTTGAAACTCTTTCAAGCTTCGATATATATATCGTCTTTCAAATTTCCAATCTCACTTTGGCAATGTAACTGCTACTAGTAATCGCACTGGCAGGTTGCCTACATCATGAACAGTTTTTCGATCTTTTGGGACGATCAAACGCGCGACTCACCGTGACTGCCTTGCGATCTCACCAACAACTTTTACCTTGATCCCATCGGTATCCCTGGATGCACATTGTATTTCTAGTGGAATACAGGCTGAGCCACTTACTCCGATCAATCAGATATCATCCCTCAAATCTCGCTTTGGCGATGTAAGTGCTGGATTGTGGTATATCAAGCACGAATGCGATCGTTATATATCCACCAAATCCCCCCGCTCACTCGCTCCATCCTCTAATAGTATGACCCTAATCTCGAACGATCCCAGTTGGTGGCCACTCATCAATGCGAATGTTATTTTCAGCTATTTCATAGGTTCGTAGAGAGTCAACCGCATGATGACGGTGATAATTTGATTCACCTTGACTTCAATTTCGCAGTTGCCGCCTCTGTTGGGGTGATGTACGATTGGGGTGAGCAAGACTAAGTATAAAAGAACCACAGATATCTTATGGTATTCTCAGCGCTTGTGTTTGGACAGGAGGTACGTCAATCCCGATTACTGGGGGAGCCAACTCACTTAGAATTGTGTTATAGGTTGAACTAATCTGGGTGAGCGGACTCCCACATTGAAAGAACGACGTGAAAATAAAACTTGTTCACGGCAGAGGCAACGCTGGTCCTTGATGACCTTTTTCTATCTCAGTGTATGTGCCTTGTGTTTCAACTTGAATATCTACGCTTAGCAAGTTTTGCTGACTTCAAAATATCCTAGGTGCGCTATGCTGGAATAGGATATGCTGTGTAGGTGTGGAAGTTTAAGCCTTTGATGTTGTTCTCATCATCCATCTCTCACAATCAGGATGAACATTTTGAGTATGTCTCCTCGCATAGACTCTGTTTCTTTCTTGTGACGGGCGGCATATAGTTGGTGTTCCAACTATTTCGACGACAGATACAGTGAATATTCCACACTGATGCCTTCCATTCCTGTCGAAACACTGAACTACCATGCAGGGGTGAGTGATATTCTCGAATAACTCGTTGATTCAACATAACGACTCCTACAGTTGTGAGTCTGTTTAGACTCTGTGATCTTCCGAAGCTGATAACTAATGTTGCTGCATTTGTCAGGCCTTATCCTAAACGACGGACTTGATTGGATGGGTGACGTTGTGAATGTAATACTGGGCGGTAAAGCTATGCACCTCCGTGATATTGACTTGACTGAAAGACCATGCAAGTCATCATCATTGTTCGGTTACATGCCATGTATCAGCAATCCAGAAAGGTGCTGATCTTTCTCGTCGTCATCTTTCTGGCCATCAGAATCGCCAACGTAGTGATGGCCGCACTACTGACGATGCAGATTTCAGGGGGTAAGCTTTAATTATGTATGAAATTTCAAGTGCATCAGGCTGATTGAAAAATACCAGAGGAATTCATTCTTTCCGGCACCTATCAGTGCATGTTTGACTCCGGGGGAGATTCCGTATTTCTTGGTTCCATGACTTGGATACTTGACACTGTATGGGAGGTCCTTGCACTGTGTCTCGCGGTCTGGATTGCTGTAAAGCACTTCCGTGAACTACGACAACACTCAACAAGAGGTATTATCGGTGACTGCTTCACGGTGCTAATAAAAACTCATGTGAGTTACTTTGGGAGGTGAGCTCATAATGTGGATGCGGTTCTCTTGTTTCCCTGAAGTTTTGCACGTGCTAGTTTTTTGGTTATCTCTTGCTTCGAGATCGGTTTCATCTCTCCTACGCTCTTAGCGGTATGTCGAGTTGTCACCGACTTCTACATGCATGCGACCATCATTCATCATTCCTATAGGACCAATATTCCCTGGACGCTCAGATTTATGAAGGTTTCGTTCAGATATTCCAGGTTGTGGGATTGTATGTGCTGGGACCACGCCTGATCCTCGGTGTTCGAGAATATCACGCTGAGCTCGTGGCCAACTCTGATACGGCAAGCGCTATGATTTCAATTGCTTTACAGGAGCGCGTCCATGTGTCAACTAGCAGTAGTGTGTAGCGCAGGAGATGCTCGATATGATTGATTTGCGATTTAAGGGGGTAGTGTGCAGAGAGCGGGAGAATTTGTTCTTATTTATTCCAGGTTTTGTCGTGGTACTTATTTATGTATGAGTCATCATTTGATAGAAGTCGAGCCCGCTGATGTGACTTGGGGCTCCCAGGGACAATGCAGTCATGGGGAAGCCTAGAATCGTAAACACAAAAGCTTGGACTCAGTGTAATAAGCACGCCCAAAGATACATGATTTTATTCCATCATTAATTTTGATATAATACATATATGTGGTGCATGGGAAGCACCAGATCCTCGAATAGTAGGCCACTCCCGACCGTGGAATGGTGTACGCACTCTTAACCTTTCATTGATTTCCCGTCTCTCATCGTATCTCATAGGGCAGGAGGGCCCGCATAGCGGCACAAGCGATAGCTCGGTATTCTGAATCAGTCCTAAGAACCCAAACATGAATCTCCTCACTGCCGCGACCAAGTGGACATCATCGCCCTACCTTCTAAAGCGCAATTTGCAAACATTCAAGTCCGTGCAGGGCCTCGGACGAGTACTTGGATTAAAAATAGTATAACACACCGTGGCCTCGTTTTGTTAACCTTACTTACTAGTAGGCGCCACTCAAACTTTGATCAACCCAATCTATGACAAGACACTCGGACTCATTTTACGGCCATGAGCAGGGCTGCGACGCGGTTGTGAGTTCGGTTCATACAGACACATCTCTGCTTGTCCGGAGTACCTCTACAAGACACTCTGCGCCACGAGCAGGCTTCGCATTTCTCGAGGAGTCAACTTAAAAATAGATTCATCAACGTCACTACTAGTACTACATGCTAGGATATAAATGTCACAACGTCCGAAGATTAACTGCCACGTCAGCAATGAGAGTGGTAATGCAAACAGTACGAGGTTGAAGGAGAGAGACATTAACGAAGGAAAGACAATGACAACGAAAATCACGGAAGAGCAAGCATGCGGGAAGTGAGGATAAGTATGTTGAGGCCCTCATATACCACCGATGATGGCTGCAACATTAAACTGAAACGAACATGTCGAGTAGAGTCTGGGGTCTTTTCGTTGTGAATGCCATGCCTCAACGGTGTTCGAACTTTGTTGGCTCAGGGTTTGCAGTTACTCGGAGGAACTGAGTAAGATCCGACTGGATGACTTCCCGCAGCGTTGTTCTAGTTCTAAACGCCTCATGTCGCTGTCAAACGTTTGACTGACAGCTCAATTGACCCAGCTCTAGATTGTGATATCTAGAAGGCCCCTCTCTAGATCCAAATCACATTTGTAAATCGCTTTCAAACTCCGCGACGATGTTGCAAATCTCTGTTTACCATCATCTCATCGAAAGGCTTTGTGTACTTAAGCTCGGTGCTTACCTGAGTTCCCATAATCTACATAAATACTGTCCGAGATGATCAAGCTTGAGCGCTGAGCTTTGATTATCACTGCCTTTTGGCCTAACGGTCTGGGCGTAACTGTTAAGGGACGACAGTCTTAACTAGTAACTACTTACACTTTGCCGCCGAGAATATCACTAGCACAGGTGATAATGCAGGCGGAAACTTGGGTGCGTAATAATTTATTAAATTCTTCTCGGATTCGTATCTTACTTTCATCCAGCTCTTATCCTCACGTATGTCATCTCGCAATCCGCTCTCCCGATGCCAGGACGCGTCGCACTCTTCTCCCCAAGCGCAGACCTCACTCTCGCCTCCCACACCTCCATACTTCATGACACCATACCTCTATCAAACTACCAAGCTTTTACTTCCCAATATCTAGGCAATTTCCCTGCCAACCACCCTCCCGCATCAGGTATCCTAATTCCAGTCACGGAAAGCTGGCCGGAGACATTGGTGATGACCGGCACAGTCGATAGTTGTGCTGAGAGCTCGCGCATAGTCGTGAGTCGTATCCAACAGGCGGGCGGGAGAGCTGAGTTTGTGGAGTATACGGATTTGACGCATATGTGTTGGATGGTTCCTCAATTCTTTCTGCAGTCGGACAGACTTCCTTCATCGGATCATCTGATACCTCAACATTAGTTGTATGACAGAGAGATGCAAAAAGCGAAACATCCAAGGGTCCAATCGTTTCACTAAGCCGTATTTCCTCACGTCGCTCAAGGGCGGGACTCGGGGGTGTAGCTGACGAGTTTTCGACGTCAAGGCTCCTTGGGAAACCAATGGATAGATCGTCTTCCCCCTCTTCATTATTTCGACACAGGAGCGCGTCGGTATCTTCACTCTCGTCTAGTTCCGGGAGCGAGCATGCACTGTCGTCGCTAACTCCCGTCGGTAGTTCTCCCTTGCCTTCCTTCCTAGATGGTTCATTGGACCGCAAGAGGCCCAAGACAACGCGTTGCGTATATCTCCCAGCGGCCATGCGCCCCTTGTTCCGCTTCTCTACCATCCCCATACCTGAAGCGGGCACACGGCCAAGGTCCTTAAGTGGGCCAATAATGGTGGCAGCGCTTGCATTGCGGCTACATGAACGCTTTGCACCTATAATCTTAGTGTCCTCGAGGATATTATCACCTTGGACATTCTCTTGATCTTGTGATAGGCATGGAGAAAGTTTCTCATGGTGGTGCACCTGTCCCACGTCATTGCGCGTGAGTGTGACGCAGAGGACCTTGCCAGCTTTGTGATCTGATTTACTGAAGGCCTTTCGTTCGGCGGGGGTTAGTTTGTTGGCAGAGGAGAGTGCCACAGCATTGGCGATACACATCGAAGTGGCGCTATCGCAACGCGTCACATCTGTTGTGGTGGACATCTTTTCTATGGTATATGACTGGAGTCAAGGAAGAGCGAACGATTTGGGGTGGCCTCCATGGACACTGAGGCGCATATTTATATCCCGAATACTGTGGACGGCTTTGACCACCGTCCACAGGGTGGAAGGCCAGTGGTTGCGTCTTTGTTCATCGCGCTCCAGTGCGCGTGTTGTCTCACGTGACTGTGGCCCTAAATGTACACAACAGAGCGACAGCACTGAAGTACTGACGGGCGCACCCACGTTGGACTTGTCCTGACAGATGCTTATCGCATTATGATTCGCAATCATTAACTCCGCTATAGTATGATTGACGCTCGATACAGCCTTTAAGGTGCTATTTTTGCGACTCTTTATCCGAACGGGTATCTATATCTGGTGCCCCCGGTGGGTATAGGTGGGGGTACCTGAGGGTGATACACCGGGGTTTATGTTATTCGCTATGTGCTACGTGCCAACGACTTATCAAGCAAACTAACACGTCTTGGCGCCTATAATCCTTCCCCATGCTCTTCAGTCATATTCTCGCTTTAGGGATATCGTGCATTATTGTCCTGCTTGTCGTTTCGGGTCTGACTCGCAGACGTGTCTACCCTTTACCTCTGCCGCCTGGCCCTCGTCCGTTACCAATTTTGGGTAACGCGCTGCAATTGGATACTAAACGACCTTGGCTCACATATACTGCGTGGGGAAAGACATATGGTTGGTAGCAGATCAATGACCACTTTACCAAACTCTTGGATTCAATTTTATATCTAATCATAGGAAAAATCATTCACTCCCGCTTACTTGGGATCGAGTTTATCATCATAAACTCCGAAACCATCGCGCGGGAGTTGCTGGACAAGCGTTCTGCGAATTACTCTACTCGCCCCGTTATTCGCACCAATGAATTGTATGCATTGCCGGTTTTCATTCGAATTGTCCTTCATCCACTGACAATGCAGAGCTGGACTGGCTTTCAATACTGTGCTCCTTCCATATGGCGAGACTTTACGGCGACATCGCAAGATCTTCCATCAAGTCCTCAGGGCCGAAGTCTCGGATTCGTACCATGAGATGTACTCTCGCCACGCAAACGATCTAGTCATCAATCTCTTGAATGCCACTAGTGACCTGCGACAACAGACTGAAGGGTTCGTACCTAATTCAGTGGTGTCGTTGTGATGTATGATCCGGTTGACAAAATCCTTGTGACAGATACACGGCATCCCTAATCATGGCCGTGACATACGGATATCTTGCTCATGGACATGAAGATCCATTTCTTACCCGCGCACACGAACTCTTTCATATTGGCCAACGTATTGTGTCTCCAGAGAAGGCTGCCATGTTCACAGCCTTTCCTTTCCGTGAGTGCCTCTGTTTACTACATAATTTTGAGTATTCAGCATGAGGTTTCAGTTGAAAAGCTGCCATTTTGGTGCTTCGGTGGAGCACTTGCCCAGATGGGACGCAGCAGAGAATTAGTTCAACAGCTTTTGAACGAGCCCTTTGACGAAGTGAAGGCCCAGATAGTATGTTTTCGCAGATTTGTGGATGTAAATTTCACCTCATCCGTTCGCGTGAAGGCAAATGGTACTGCTTCACATTCATTGGTCGCTGACTTTCTCAATCAAGTTCACGACTACGCTGACGAAGACACGATGAAGGCTGTTGCGACGACGGGATATATGAGTAAGATTTCTTTCTCCCAAGACTGAGTTCATCCATTGACGCGAATACGGCATCTTAGCTGGCATGGAGAGCGTAAGTCGCTACCCAAGATCCTGATTTCTACTTTGATGTCCCGCAGACTGCATCTGCATTGCAGTCATTTTTGCTGGCTATGGTGCTCTATCCTGACGTCCAAGCCCGTGCTCGTGCAGAAATTGATCAAGCTGTGAGGCATGATAGAATGCCGTGCCTTGATGATAGGGCGTCACTGCCCTACCTTGATGCCATTCTCCGCGAGGTCCTGAGATGGTATCCTCTTGGCCCCCTAGGTCAGTCTGCACAATTATAACTCTGAATAATTGACCCCCGGCACAGGAATTCCACATGCGACATCAAATGATGATGTTTATGACGGGTACTTTATACCCAAAGGTTCGAAGTCGTATGAATCGAGGTTGCCGTTGACTCATCGGTAGTTCGATCAGGTGCGATAGTAATAGTTAATCAGTGGTATGTCACGGCGGAGTCCATATAACGGCGGCTTGAGCTAAGCATGGCTCAGGGCAATATCTCGGGATGAAGACATATATCCCGATGCATCACGCTTCGATCCCAGCCGCCATCTAACGGTTGACGGGAAGCTGAAGGACCCTTTCGTCAACCATTTTGCCTTCGGTCATGGCAGGTGAATATTCCACACTTGTCATCCATCTTCAATTATTCACCGACCCTCGCAGGCGTATCTGTCCCGGTAGGCTGATCCATGGCTCATGTGGCAGTGATGAGGCTGATGAATTGCCTTGGCAGGTCGTTGGTTTGCAGAGAACAGTCTGTGGACTGCAGTTTCTGCCATACTCGCCGTGTTGCGCATCGATCATGCCAAAGACTCAAACGGGGACAGGATTGAGGTGAAGCCGGAGTTCAGCACCGGCATAGTGATGTAAGTGGCCTAGTATGCATTACAGGACCTGCGGTTGACCCTGCCGAAGTCGCCCTGAACCATTTCTCTGCTCGTTTGAAAGCGTGAACACAGCGAGAGAAGGACATCTTCGAGCGATGATGAATTCGAAGTAGGCTCCGTTTGTACTTGCGGTGGTCTGTCATATAATAGCACACGAATGTACCACAGCAGAGTGCACTGAGTGGCAACGTTTTACGGCCTCTGTCTGTCTCTTGGCATGAACAAGATAATCGCTTTCAAGTCCGTTGACTCTTCAAAACAAATCTGATCCGCAGTGAAAACTCTGATGGGAGACGTGAGCAAAGTAGGGAGCAGACACTATATGTATAACAACAACTTGTATGGAAAGCCGGACAGCGCTTTGTTACCACCCGTGACATGGGCCAAAAATGGTAGTCACAAGTTGAGGACTCCGTACACCTCTAAAGAGATTAATGCGATCGACAACCTGTAGGTTCCATAGTATAGCGCGGCTGTCCGGCTTTTTGTCCTGCAGTTACAGTGTCATATTGTGACGGCGCCGGTGCTAGCCCCCGACTTGCTTATTCCTGGCATCTTTTGTCCATGTGTCCATCGAATTTAGTAAACGCAAACTAGTCTTTATTTCATTTTTGGTAAATGATTGCTAATCCCATGTGATTCTACTGTCAATGCATGATGCTTTTCGACTCGTAACCGAATGAGTCTGATAATCTTGACCAGTCTTAGCAGCTAAGCCAAACGTGACAGGACAAACAATCTTTTCCTTTTACCACGCCTTGAACATTCACTCATGGATGGATTTTTCAAGGCCTATATTGAGTAGAAATAGCTAACCGTTTGGCACCAGAACAGATTAGAAATCTGCTCTCTTGTGGTGCGGATTCGAAACCTGTCGACATGGACAGTTCCTCGGAGGTTCGTCTAAACTTGGCCAGCAAGCGTCCTGGCCCAAGTGGTTAACACAACAGAATCAAATTCTCTTGTAGTTCGCAGGTTCGAAACCTGCCTAACAACAGGGTTTTTTTCTATCGGAACACGCCTTGAAGATTCACTCGTGGACAGTTCCTCGGAGGTTCATCTCAACTTCGTCCTCGCCAAAGTGGTTACCACAACGGAATCAAAATCCGTTTCTCTTGGACTACGCAGGTTCGAAACCTGCCGAACAACAGGGTTTTTTTCCTATCGGAACACGCCCAATTCCACGGAGCAACTTCGCCCTGACTGAAGTGGTTACTGCAACATAATCAAAATCTGTCTCTTGGACTGTACCAGTGCAGGTCCAAAATCTGCCAACGATTTTTTTTTTCCATCCGAACACGCCTTGAAGATTCGCTGATGGACAGTTCCTGAGAGGCTCATCTCAACTCCGCCCTGGCCCAAGTGGCTACTGCAACGGAACCGAAATCTATCTCTTCGGCTGACACTACTAGTGCAGGTTCAAAACCTGCCAACGAGGTTTTTTTCTCTCAGAACACGCCTTGAAGATTCACTGATGGACAATTCCTCGGCGGTTCATTTCAACTTCGCCTGACCAAAGTGGTTACTACAACATAATCGAAATATGTTTGTGTCGGACTTGCGCAAGCTCGAAACCTGCCCAAGACATGATTTTTTTTATCAGAACACACTTTGTAGTTCACTCATGGACGGATTCCTCGGAGGCTGATCTTAACTGTTCTTAACCAAGTGGTTACCACAACAGAATCAAAATCTGTTTCTCTTGCAGTCGGTTCGAAACCTGCTGACAACATTTTTGCATGTATAGATCCTCAAACCGTCTCAACTAGGCCCAGTCATTGCACTGAAACCTCCTTTTCATGTGATAGTCTGTCCATGAAATTTTGAAATATAATCCACCTTCACGCCTCGTGCGGATCGTCTCAGAAACATTAGGTATATCCCTGAGATGTGTACGTACAAACCTAGATTCTCGACGGAGTAACCAAAACTGTCGGGATGGAGCTCGAGGCCAGAAGAACGCACGCAAGCTAAGGACAGAGTGAGTCTGACGGTCAGGCAGATGATGTAACCTCCCCATCATCGCTAAAGTCTCATCGATGAACACTTCTTCGGTCGTTGGCTCTTCCAAAGCGACTGAGGATGATTCGAAAGCTAAAGGTAGGAGAATTGAAAGTGGCAGACCGAGCCATATCATTCTGATACGTGTAGTTTGCGTGCGCTCCTGTTTTGTGTTGATGCGGGGCGGAACATACTTTCGATTGCCGCAGCAAGACCCGGGCAACTGAACGGAGATATCAATAGAGAGGTCAACGAGAAACTCGTTCATGCGAAGCAGGCTTAGATACGACGGACACAGCATCGCCTGCAAGTCGCTGATCCATTGTGACCAACAAGGCAGGAGGGACCAAAGCCAATGGCGAAGACAGAGCAGAAGACGAGGACGCGGCCATGTAATGAGGTGAACAACGACGGAAGGCAAGAAAGCCCCTCAAGAAAACAAGCATTGTAAGGAAATTGGAACAGGGGCGAGACAACAGGACAACTGCAATTCAGTCTGGTCTGTCTTGGAGAGTTTGGCACACGAGGAATTCGAGATAGCGCGCGCACGTTTGCTCGACTGAGCAAAAGGCTCATGGAGAAGTTCAGCAGCAGCGTTACGTCTAGGAACCACCAAACACTTATGTAAAGATAAAAAGTAAGTCACCATGCAGGAGGTCACGCACGTACTACTAGTAGTGGTGGTGGCGATTATCAGCGCTCTGACCGACAGTGAGTGAGCGCGAATCATCATAAGAAAATCATCAATCAAAGATGGAGACTCGAGGTAGATCTATGTACAGCAGTATGGGTTGAACAATGTTCCGAATCCTGGAAAAAAATTGCTCAAAACCGAACCAAGGTCTGGTGCAAATTTGCTGACTCGGTGCACGAAGTCCTCTTACCTATTACGGACGCGTGACACTGACTAAGGCAGCGCGGCTGTCTGGCTTTCCATAAACATGTTCATAGATGCATGGCATCCAGGCGACCACTACATGTCTGAGGACTACAAACGCGTGGCCAGGCATCGTACGCGCACGCAGTCTCCTCCACGATACTACTGCATAGACTTTAGTATCTCCCGCAAATACGAGGCGTCAAACACCAACCCATCAGAAGTACCCATATTTGGTGGGGATAAAGAAGCGCCGGAGTTCAAGGAAGACAACTATAAACCCCGGAACCCCTTTCCAACTGATGTTTGGTATCTTGGACATGCTATTCAAGAAATATTTCTCGATGTAAGGCGCAATAACGACTTCTCATCTTGCATATCCTGATTTTGACGCAACAGCGCTACTCAGGTGTAGAATTCCTGAACGGTCTATTATCGGACATGATGCACTCGATCCAGCACAACGTCCGAATATGGACGAAGTTTTTTCTCGATTCCAGGTTCTGCGTCAGGGCCTCAGTAAATGGAAATTGTGACGTTCCCGGGTGGCTCAAGCGCTCATCATGACGATAGCTCTCTTTTTGATCTTCTGGCCCACTGGGCACGTCGCATTCAGTACGCAGTACGCAGGATTCCCCCAACCCATACCGATTGGCGAGTTCGACGTCTCGCTAGTTCAACTCCACCTCGCCCATGTTCCCATCTCGCAGTTCAGTACTCTCGATGGTGCACTTCGTGACATTAGATTGGACGTGTATAAAGAGAATATAATACACCGTGGCCTCGTTATGTTAACCATACTTGGATGCCACCCAAGCCTCGATCAACCCAACCTACAACAAGACGCTCTGGCCCATTTTATGGCTATGGACAGGCCTCGCGGTTGTGTGTTCGATTCATACTAACACATCTCTTTGCTTGTCCCTCGCCCCTCACCTCACTCCAAACCTCAATCAACCCAACTACAACAAGACACTCTAACTTGATTCTGACCCATTTTACGGCCACGAACATGCTTCGCGTTTCTTAAGGGGTACACTTGAAAAATTATTCATTAACGTCACTGCTACATGCTAGGAAACAAATGACACGACGTCCGAAGATTAACTGGCACGTCAACAACGAGATGGTAATGGAAACAGTGCAAAGTTGAAAGAGAGAAGAACAACGAAAGTCACGGAGGAGCAAGCATGCGGGAAGTGAGGATAAGTATGTCGAGGCCCTCATGTAGCTGTAACATTAAACTGAAGCGAACATGTCGAGTAGAGTCTGGGGTCTTTTCGTTGTGAATGCCATGAGGCACCTCAACGGTGTTCGAACTTTGTTGGCTCAGGGTTTGCAGTTACTCGGAGGGAACTGAGTAAGATCCGACTGGACGACTTCCCGCAGCGTTGTTCTAGTTCTAAACGCCTCATGTCGCTGTCATACGTTTCAAGTCCGCACGTCAACTAAAAGCTCAACTGACCCAGCTCTAGATTGTGATATCTAGAAGGCCCCTCTCTAGATTCAAATCACATTGTAAATCGCTTTCAAACTCCACCATCAGGAAAAAACAAATTTTGTGGGAGCCCTGGTGAGAGCTATGTAGCACTACATAGCTACCATAGTTCTATGTACCTAATGTAGCCGTGACTCAGACTATATAGATCTACAGCGGGCTACAGCAGAGTACAGCAGACTACAGCGGACACTTGGAGGCACAATAGTCAAATTGAAGTCTGTAGTCAATAGTAGCTGAGTAGCAACAAAATTAATCAATAGCGGACATGCAGAATGTATCAAGGTCAATAAAGCTAGTTAAGTAAAAATCACTTGCGGACTCATAGACATTTGCGCTAGTCCATCCACGGTCAACAGCTTGTCCCATCCTCGGAATAAGATGGCAAGGACGAGCGATTTCATCAACGTGTATCACCGCTGCATTCCGGTGCAGCCGACGAGTCAAACACGACATTGGTGCAGGCCAGATGAGCGGTCCGGCTCCCTGAGTGGTGTGAACCACTCAATGTAAGCTAAGGCTCGCGAGTAGGTCCCAAATTGACGCGGCAGAGTGAAAATAACGCGAACCTGTCCCACTCGCATACCTAGTAAAATATTAACATGAATTTTTTGACGGCTCAACAAATAGTTAGTACTCACCTTCTAAAGTGCGCGGCTGAATGCCATTGCTTGTCAGGGCCATATCAACTTAGCGGGAGATCCAGGCTTGCGTCCACGTCCAGGAAGCACTTCAGGCGTGGCTCTAACACGCCACTGCCTCGGTGATTCACTGATGAGTGGATTAGGTGGAGCAGTGATTACTACCTGTCGAAATACGTCGAAACGGTCTTGCAGACCAGGGGTAATGATAGCGTGCGGCATGTGGTTGCGCAGAAAACAACTTAAGGGCTGGGAGGAACATGGACGCACCATGTGCAGTGACGAGGTGCTGAACTGAACGCTGAGGGTATGCAGGCGTCTTAGCGAGAGAGTGGACCGTTCGTTGCTCAGGGAGGATGGGAAGTGTATTGACAGGGACAGTGTCGGGCCCTTCCATCTCTGAGTCCGAGTCCGAGTCATATCCACGGTCACGAGTGAAATTGGTTGGTGCCGAACTGAGACTGTTCCAACAGCCAGTTGAGGTAGGAACCATGCAGGAAGACTGCCTCCTGGCGCTGGAGCCATAAGGCCATCTGTTCTTCATAGTCCCGCTTGTTACTGGCGCGATACACTTCTTTGGCGAAAGTCGATGTGCAAACGTTCTGGAAGTTCGCTGTTAAAGCGTCTGTAGCACCAAACAATAGGATAGACTGAACAGTAGTGAGAGAGCTGATGTAATTTGGGAATATTAAAATGGTCGCTGAATATCGAGTTGCTGCAAGACGTCCTTGTTGGCGTGAAATATCGCCAGAGCGCGTTCCAGGCCATTGAGGGATTCAGTTGAGTGAACTTGAAGCCTGAGCATAGTACGAAAAATCTAGAAGTGCTGCGCAACTACTAACACTTGGCTGGTAAGCAAACTGAAAACAATCACGTCAGCACCAACCTCGTGCTTAGCAACAATTGAAGCTTACCTAGGCACAGCGCCAGCAAGTAGCCCAACAAACACACGCTGCATCTCTTTGTGTTCTGTCCCCGTCCACTGCTTTACCATAGATATTCCCTTCTTGAAATGCCTAAGACCGGGATAATCAGGCATCGCTTTGAACCATGCAGTCCATTTCTTCTTCGCCAACAATATCAAGGCACCACTTAACTAAATGGTCCTTGAAGATGCCTTTGTGGAGTTGGTGTAGGAGGTCAGGTGTAAAGGCCAGGAAGATGTTAGAGTGGGGGAGATTAGCCCAAAATGGAGCATAGACGGTTGGCGTAGTCCAAATTCCTCAAATTCAGCAGGATGGTGACCAGTCTTTCGCTTCTCTAATATCCCCTTATGACTGCAGGATCCCGCATCAGGCGAATCCAGTGGATCGCCTCTTTCATCCGCCGCAACTACACATTTTGGACAGCGGTTTTCCTTGCAACACGCCACCAGACACTGCTCTGGAAAGTCCGCTACATACGTGGCAAGGATCGGAGACACTCGATCGGATCAACGCATCAGCACACACCATTTCAACGCCGTCTTCACCTGCAGCAACAAGGGGCTGAAGGAGGAGGGACATGCAATGATGGAATAGTCAGTAGTTGGCAAGGGAGCGTTCATCAGGTGTAAAGCAGTCAAGCTTTCCTGAAGGTAGGTAACCAATCAGGACTGTCGCTCTTGCTGACGTTTGCCGCCGTTTTTCTTTAGCAATGTTTCCTATAGAGAGGTACACAGGATATGCCGTTTGTCGCCTGGAATTGCGACAGACTCGTTTTGTCTGTGCAAGAATAATTGGCGCAATGGTTGCTCCTTCCAGCACCTTTTTCTGGACAACACAGGTCAGTGCTTGTCATTTTCGATGTTTTTTTGATATGGTGCTTACTTGCATGTCACACCACCAATCTGCAGTCCACATGTCGTCTATCACCCGGTGGAGTCCTGCAGAGTCCGTGTATGCGCGAGCAGGTGTGTACACCATTTGATCCTTGAACAAAGGATTTCCGATCAAGTCCTTGATGCACTCTACAGGATTGCGCATCCACAGTTCAACATCTTCATGCAACGGTTCGCCTTTTTCGTCCGTTCTATTTCCCTGAACGCTAATCTTCTTACAGCTCCAGGCGGCTCCATGCGGGAGTTCATCAACCTTCTTGAGGAATGATTGGTTGTTGTGGAATGAAGCTTGCATTCGGTTTCGGGTCTATCACGCTGGTCAGTACATTTTTTCGGTGCTTGATGCCAAACTTACAATCGGTAACTTTAGAAATTCATCGGTTCGAGTCTGCCCAAGGCTTTTTACAAGCCACTCAGCGAGACCCCACTCTTCCCTGGCAGCTAAA